AAAAAAAAAAAAAAAAAAAAAAAAGGGCCGTTTAGGAGGCTGGAGTGCTCAGTCCCGGTTGTTTTTTTTTTTCACCTTTTTAAGGCTTTTAAAAATGCTTCCTAACGACACCTTGCTGCAGCGTCAGGGGCTCCGAGGAGGCCCTGATCGCCGAGGGCCCGTTTCCCGGCTCGTCACCTGTTGGATTGCACGAGCTGGTGGGGGGACAGGCGGGTTGCTCAGAGCGACCGGGTGAGACACTGGACAGCGCTCGGACCGTCCGAGGGCTCAGCCCCGAGCCTGCGCCGGCTCGTCTGCGCCCTCGGGGGCCGAGCAAACTTGAGCAAACCTGTAACTACTTTTGTAGCAACTGCTGGGAAGGACGGGATCGGGACGACGGGAGGAGAGCTGCGGGACCCTAATTGAGACCGAGCCCCAAGTCCAGTTTTTTTTCTTTCTGAGAGATGTCTAGGGAGGAGGGAAAAGAGTGAGTAGGAGGGGAAGGATTCTCACTTTCAATTTTTATTTCTTACGGGGCAAGTCAGGCCATTCCGCCTGGGCACCTGCCTGGCTGCAGTTCTTTTGCATCTTGAGCCGGAGCCGGAGCAAGGCCTGGGGCTCCTGTTGGGGGTTTACCTGGTAGGCCGGCCGCGGGCTCAGGTGTCCCGGGGAAGCTGTCAGACTTCATTTGAGTCTCCAGGTTTCTGCTACATTTAAACCAATTGGGAAAAGTGAAGGAAAGATGACCAGAGACCCTAAGCATTACAACCAATCAGCACAGAATTAGCAGCCGTCTGTTGTGTTGATAAATAGTAACAGATTGGAGCCAAATTGACACTGAAGTTAGCAAGCATGTGGCTTGATAGAGAAGAGCCCGAGGGTCCCATGTTTCCACTGCTTATGGGGAATTAGGACGTTGTGTTCAGTAAGCAAATTTTTTCTTTACACACTTGGCTAAAACACCCGGAGGGAAGCCTCTTCATGGGTTTCTCGCCTCCGTTGGGTGAGTAGGTGAGGATACACACGTGTCCTTTCTCGGCTAAGTCACTCTGGCCCACCCAGCGATTGTTAGGATGTGATTGCACAGTATCATCACCTGTGACAGCCTGGTGGCTCTTGTGCAAAGTGGGGGTGGATACACTGTTGCTGGTTTCATCCTTTGGAACATTTGTAAGAGGGTGGTTTCCTCAGGACAGCTGGTTGGTTTTTTTTCTCTTTCAACCAGCATGTGGAACATTGCTCTCAAGTCCCAGTTCCTAATTTTTAAAAAAATGGAGCTTTGAGACCTAAAAGCTATCCACTAGGTATCTTAAATTGTTTAATCCAAAATATTTAATTGGTCACAGAAAGATGCCAGTAAATTTTCAAAAAGGTACAGAATCTGCTCAAGGGCCTTTCTAAAAATCCAGGAGGCTGCTAAGACTTCTCAAAAGCTTACAAGGAGTTGTTTGAAACTGGAGTGGCATCTTTACGTAGAAAGATGTACAGTGGTACCTTGGTTTTCAAATGTCTCCGTTGACAAACATTTCGGGTTATGAACGCCGAAGGAAATGCTTCGGTTTTTGAACTCGCCTCGGAAGTCAAACAGGCCACACGGCTTCCACTGAGGGCAAGGTCCTGAGGCCTTGCTTTCGGCTGTGGATCCCTCGGTTTTCGAATGTTTCGGAACTCGAACGGGCTTCCGGAACGGATCACATTCGAAAACCGAGGTACCACTGTAATTGCCTTATTTCAACCCTGGTTGGCCAGCGTCGGAGAACTGGTAGGTTTGGCTCAGTGGTTAGAGTGGTTAGACTGAAGGTTCCGGTCAAGGGCATGTACCTCGGTTGTGATCCCTGGCGCCTGTCGGGGTGAGTGCTGGAGGCAACATAATAGATGTTTTTCTCTCTCCCTGTCTCCCTCCCTCCCTCCTTTCCTCCTTCCCACTTCCTCTGAAAAGCAATGGGGGGAAAATATTCGTGGGTGAGGATTGAAAAAAACAATGGGTTTGATTTTAGGGGTTCCAGGGAGAAAGGGGGGCACAGAGAAAAGAGAAGGAGGGCACATTTCCTTCCTCTTTCTTAGAATTTGGAGGCTCAAGCTAAATGTTGAAATAGGCAAAGCTTGCTGTTGTCACCTTCCTTTTCTGTGCCCCTCCTCCCTGCCCCAAGGTGTCCACTGCCCCCTGCCTCCCCTGTGCCCCTCAGCCAGGCGTGACTTCATCCCCAGAGCTTATGGGCTCCTCTGCCGGGCACTCCAGGCCCAAACCCATTCATTACCCCCCTCCCCCCAGATGCTATCTTGGTAGGTGCTGGGAAGAAAGCTGTCTCTTTTACCTAAGTGTGCGCGAACTGACATCCTCTAACCAGATAAGTAGCTATGTTTCCTTTCATCTCCCAACCAAGCTGCTATCTTTCTCAACAAGTGAAGCTTATTAAGTGTTTTCTCAGTGATTAACTGAAGAAAGGTGATGCTTATGAGTGTTTTCCCGGGAGGGGTGGGGTAGCCTAACTTTCTCCTGTCCTAAGTCCACAGCCTTCAGGTGTTCTCAAGTGTTGTCATAGTTGTAGAATCAGCTCTAGACGGGAGTTGGCTAATGCTGTATATTTTTATGCCCAGATGATGTACTGGGAATTGCTTAGTTGGTGAGATGCAGGTGATTTAGGGAGAGACTTTTGTCTCTTCCTGCCTCCTTCTCAGTCTAGGCCCAGCTGTTCAGTGGGTGTTGAAGGTCACAGGCGCCGGTTGCCACGTGGAAATGTGAATCTGGGCAGTGGAGGGAGAAGCATTACCGCCTGAGAGCTTGAGCACCCAGCCGGCAGGTGATGTTTGAAAAAGGGCGGCAAACAGGCCTGTGAGCAGTTCCTGTAGGCTGCTTGTGGCGGCTTAGAGTGGTGTTTGTGGACCGTGTTTTGGTTCAGTGGCAAAGGGTGTTGTAATGGGGATAAGGGTCAGGTGTGTGTTAGCTCAGGTGTGAGGTCGCCGTTCTTGGCATGCATTTGGGACTTTAGTTGTAAGAGTTGAAAGCGCTAAGAAAGAACCACAAATTTGCTATTCATTATAGATTTGGAGTTTTTTTCTCCCGGTTGGTGGGTAGTAATGTTAATTATACATCCTTGATTTTCTTCTAGACAGTCTGTTTCGTAGTTTGTTGTTTTTAATAAAGGTAATTTGTTAAAAAACTAAATATATTTTTAAAGCCTTTGTAAGACTAGATGCAAATTTATCAACCAGGAAACAGTCCTTTGTGAGACTGTGCCTTGTGGATTAGCAAGAAATATGCTCGCTGTAGGTGGTAGTGATTTTTGTTGCTGCTGCTGCTGTCTGTTTTGCTAATCCACACCTGAGGACCCCCCCCTTTCAAAGAGAGTGGGAGGGAGGGGGAGAGAAAGAGAGAGAAACACTGCTCTGTGAGAGACACGTTGGTTGCCTCCCCCGTGTGCCCTGAGGGGCGGGGAGAACCCGAAACCCAAGTCTGTGCTCTTGATGGGGAATCGAACCTGAGGCCCTTTCTGCGCTCGGGCCGGCACTCTGACCGCTGAGCTCGCAGCAGGGCGGTGACAGCGTGTTGCACTGGCGGCCGCTTGGTGTGCTGCGGTAGTTACTCCTTAGCGTCACATGGACCCCGGTGGCTACACTGCCCTGTGTGATGTGATTCCCAGTGAGAGAGGCTGTGGCAGAAAGAGCAGCCTCGGTGTTGTCCCCATGCTGCCGTCTGTTTTTATGCCCTCGGATGCAACAGTTAACGTTCCTTTAAGCGTCAGTTTCTCACCTTTAAAATTAGGGGTTGTGCACCCTCTCCTCTGGTGGTCTTTTTGGCCCGAAAATCTTGACCAGTTAAAAATTTGGGAAGTTGTATTTTAGTGTTAACCTGTGAAAAAAGACGAAGGTAAGTGTGTATTGCATTGACTCCGTTTTTCTCCCTTTAAAACTGTTCAGACTGATTTTCGAAAATGCCAAGTAGGAAGTTTGCCGATGGCGAAGTGGTGAGAGGCCGGTGGCCGGGGAGCTCACTTTATTATGAAGTAGAAATTCTGAGCCGTGACAGCAAGTCCCAGCTTTACACGGTCAAGTACAAAGATGGAACCGAACTTGAACTGAAGGAGAATGATATCAAGGTAAGGGCTCCTGTGGGCGACCTTGTTCACAGTAAGCGGGTCAACTGTGGGTGCGGTTTTTGAGGTTAGTCCGTCCTGGCTCCGTTTGGAGGTAACAGGGTCACGCTCCTGCTTTGAGTCAGATGCTGTTTTGGCTCTGGGACTGTATGAAAGACACGGTGCCCTGTTCCTAAGAAGTTCTGTCTACTGGAGAAGGCAGATACTTACATGGGTCACGTCCCTGGTTTAATACGTTCGGTGATGGACGTTTGTCTCGGGTTAGGGAAGGCACTGGGTTTCAGGGAAGGCTTTTAGAGGTGTTGACACCTGAGCCGAGTACTGAGACCATATACGAAGAACTCAGGTGATGGAGGGGGCACCATGCCAAAGGCTTGGGGGGATGCACACAGCCAAGTGCTGGAAGGGTATGGGCCAGCGGAGGGACTGTCAGAATGGGGAGGGGTTTGGGCTTCATCCCATACACTGAGGATTCAGTCATGAGAGTGACATTAGTTAGATTTGATTGTGGCCTAGGGCTCTTCAACCTGTCCGTTGAGGGCCTGGGTTTTAAAATATCTGATCTGTGGGGCTAATTTTCTTGGTATTGTTTGTGTGCATATTTCTTTTGTCCCATCATCTCAGCCTTAATCAATGTTAACTGTAACTCTTCTTGTATATGTTCTTGGGAAAATGTACGGCTAGTTGATTTAGACATTCATTTCATGGCAGTACCTTTAAAGAAGAATTAGGAGTGGGAAGGCAGCATGTGTCTCCTTACAGATGGGTCATGATTGCAGCATTTCTCATTGGCCTCATCTGAGCGAGTCTCAGGTCTCAGTGTTTCCAGGCTGGTGTTAGAGTTAATGGTACCCGTGACTGCCTTTGCCACCTTCTGGTACTGTGGGTCTGCCCGCGTGTATTAAAACTCGTGGTAAAGCTCTACCTTCTGCTCCCTCTCTAGCCTTTAGCTTCCTTTAAGCAAAGGAAAGGTGGCTCAACTTCCAGTTCTCCCTCCAGACGCCGAGGGAGCCGGTCAAGGTCACGGTCACGGTCCCCTGGCCGCTCCCGATCCCCTGGCCGCCCATCTAAAAGTTCCCGCAGATCTGCCTCTGCTTCGCACCACGTTGACATTAAGGAGATGAGGAAGGAAGTGCTGGAAGTGAAATTGACCCCACTGGTCTTGGTACGTGTGTGTCTTGGGGAGATGCGTATCCTTGTACAAAACACAGTCCTCCCCTTTATGCATGTGTTTACTCATATCATTTGCAGTTAACAATATTAAAATGTCAGTGGAACATTAAATCTAAGGTAATGACTTTGGAATTTCATAAAAAAAGGATGTTTGGAAGAAGAAAAGGTATAACTGGCCTTTAAGTGCCAATGAAAAAGAATGTTTTTAAGTTACAAGAGTGCTATTTAATATTGTGATTTTTAAAAAGCAGTTTTTAAATATGAAATATATAGTTTGAACTGAGTAGGTTTTTGTAGCATATTGTTACCTTTTTCTGGGTAAAATGCTCACAGATATTTTAATAGCCTTAAAAAACTGGATTATGTACATACTGTTTTATAGTCAGATTTTAAAAATTTAAAATACTGGGAATATTCTGCATTATTTTTTTCTACATCATTTTTGTTGTGTGGTATTGCTTCGATATACCCTAAGTTATGTATATGTAACAATTGTTAAATTCAGCTCCCTTATTGGTAGACATTTAGGTTTTTTCTTTTTAAACTTTCACTGTTATAAACAAATTTTCTCTTTTAAAAAAAAAAAATCTTTATTGATTTCAGAGAGAGAAGGGGGGGGAGAGAGAAACATCAGTGATGAGAGAGTCATTGATTGGCTGCCTCCTGCACGCCCCCAACTGGGGATCGATCCCGCAACCCCGGCATGTGCCCTGACTGGGAATTGTACCCCGATTACCTGGATCCTAGGTTGACANGAGAGAGTCATTGATTGGCTGCCTCCTGCACGCCCCCAACTGGGGATCAATCCCGCAACCCCGGCATGTGCCCTGACCGGGAATTGTACCCCGATTACCTGGATCCTAGGTTGACGCTCAACTGCTGAGCCACGCCTGGCCGGGCCCCATTTTCTCATTCTGCCTATTACTATAATAATCTTTTTGGCCGATATGATTGTCAGAGATTTTCCACTCACCATTTTAACTTGTGTTTTGATAATTACTCGTGAGTGTCAACATTCTATCTGTGGCTCTCATTGCTGGTCGGGTGACTCAGGTTAAGGAACAGGTGCAGTGTACCACTTTCACGCTCTCCTCGTAGCATTTAGTGGTTGTGATAATTTTACAGTGTAACCGAATAGTCCTGCACGCACCGCGCACGCACCGTGGAGTTGAGGATGGTGCGTGGCACGGGAAAGACCGTACTGGAGCTGCGTGTGGCCTCACTCTTCCTTGTTCTTGTCGACTTTTAATTGTACCTTTTGCGATAATTTGCCTCCCTGTGTGAGTATCCCCTCAGTTTGCAGTAGGCACAGTTTAGGGTTGGCTAAAGAACTAGTGTGGTACAGGGTTACGTTTGTAGTTACTGTAGATCGTATGCCGGACATTTGAAAACTGAGAGTGTAGCAGCATGTGCTGTTAAGGTGGGTCCATTTGTTGCGGAGTGTCTCACTGGCGCTTAGGTGTATGTGGCGCTTAGGTGTATGTTGCATGTTCACTGCTCAGTTACACTTAGATTTGAGCTGGAACTTGATACTCTATTAATGCTATCAGTCCTTTGCCAGCTGGTGCCCCAAATGATATACTTGGGCTTTTAGTTTGTTTCCCTCCTCTTGGATTATTAGCATTATCATTTGTCATTGACCTATAAAGGAGCAAAGTGACAGATTTCAGCCATGCTTTGCCTGAAGAAACATTTTTGCAAGCTGAAGCACTTCCCCTGTTCCATCGGATAAGAAAATCTGCCCTATGATTGGAGAGAAGGCACATTCAAGGAAAGAGACTGAGTCAGGGAGAGGGGTGTAGGGAGAGAAACTTAAGGCTACATGAAAACCAGGCAGCATGAAGTTCAGAAGACAGGCAGTGTGTAGGCCCTAGCTACACTCCAGAAGTGCCCATTGTTTCTTAACTTCCCATTACGGGCTGTTTTGGGGCAGTGAACGTCTTTGTTGTTGTTGTCGATCCTCACCCAGGGATATTTTTTCCATTGCTTTTTAAAGAGAGTGGGAGGGAGGGAGAGAGGGAGAGGGAAAGAGGGAGAGAGAGAAACATCGATGGGAGAGACACAATCAATTGGTCTCCACCCATACCCGCCCGACCCAGGCGGGGATGAACCTGCAACCCAGGTACATGCCCTTGACCAGGAATTGAACCCAAGACCCCTCAGTGCACAAGCCAGTGCTCTAACCACTGAGTCACACCAGCCAGGGCTTTTTATTTATTTTTTAACCAATTAACGAACTAATTGCCAATTTTTACTTCTCTAACTCTCACAGCAAATACTATTAGAATATCTGTTACTGAACAATGAAATCATAACATTCAATCTGATTATGTTTAAAAGATGAAAGAACTTATGAGGAATCTGTAAGTAAAACCCAGTCATTTGGAGATTGGGAAATTCTAGTCAATTTCACTAGTTTTCATTTTTAATGCAAGTGTCCGGAATTCTTCAGAATTAAAGCTGTGAAAACCTCTGGCTTTCTTTATCGCTTGATAATACAGTAGTAAAGATTTAATAAGTTATTTTTTAATAAGTTATGACTTATCTGGTTAAAATGCTTTATGTTCTTCAATTTAGAAGCCATTTGGAAATAGCATCAGCAAGTACAATGGGGAGCCGGAGCACAGAGAGAGGAATGACTTGCCTCACAAGAACACGCAGGTATGGAAGCACATTGAAAACCACAATACTTCTTACAATCCTTTCTTTTTATATATATGTATTTTATTGCTTTCAGAGAGAGGAAGGGAGGGGGGAGAGAGAGAAACATCAATGAGAGTCCTTGATTGGCTGCCTCCTGCACGCCCCCTGCTGGGGATTGAGCCCGAAGCCCAGGCATGTGCCCTGGCTGGGAATTGATCCGCGATCTCCTGGATCATAGGGTGATGCTCAGTCTCTGAGCCATGCTGCCCGGCTTCTTACAACCTTTCCTAAAAATCTGTCCTTCAATTAAGACTGAATGTAATCTAACAAATGTATTTTTAATATATGGCTCTATCACAATGCTGAATTAGTTAATGTGGTAGTGTTAATGATAATTATTGACTGCAGATAATTGGTATTTTTTATTTTTTAACCAGGAAAAATTCTCTTTGTCACAAGAAAGTAGTTATATATCTACACAGGACAGCCTTCGTCCAAGAAGAGAAGAGAGCAAATTAAAAGAAATAGATTTTGAGAAAGAAACGGTTGTTACAAAAAGACCTACATTGTCAAGAACCTTTGAAGTGACAGCCATACAGACGAAGGACTTGGAGTTTGGAGGAGTACCTGGTAGGTGTGAGAACTGGACTCAGGCTGTGCGGGTGGGTGGGCCAGTGGGAGGTGCGATCAAATGGACAGGAAAGGCCCTTCTTTGGAGAATCCGAAGCAGGCCAGGTAATGAGCCAGGTGGGGAAGAGCCTTCCAGTCAGAAGGAACAGCAGGTGCGAAGGCCTGAGGTGGGAGCCTTTTTGAGGATTGTAATAGAGTAGAAAGGGTGCCAGAGTGGCTGTAAAGAAAACCCTTAGCAATCTGTTAATAGGTTTTAATGAAAGAAGGGCAAAGAAGTGATAAAAGGAAGGTTGACGTGAATGATCAGGGACAGAGGAGTCTGCCCGTCACAGACCTGAGGCGACAGGGTCTGGCTTCGCAGGAGCAGCGGGCAGCTGTGGACATAAGATGGGCACTACTCTACCTGCTAGATGGGTTGATTGTGAGAGTCAGAGATCTGAATTGTCAGAGGCTTGGAGTTACTAAGTGGCTGGTACTGCTGAAATTTTATGAGCTAGTAAAAGAAAATACTTCTTGGCCAAATGGTTCCAAATCCTGCCGGGCTTGATTGCTCTGATTTTGTAAGTTATTGGCTGGCTGGTCTGTTAAAAGTGGTGGCCAGCGTCCCTGAAAGTCTGTACATGTTCTCTGAATGTGATACTATTTTGTTAGAAACTTAGGGATATAAAGTTTTTTTTAAAGATTAGGCTGATAAATTTTAGCTGTTCTGATTTTTAATTTTCTGGAATTTCAACATGGTTGCTCCATAGTGGTTGGATTTTAAATGTTCTAGAGCTTGGGCATTAGCTGTCCAGTGCTGGACACCTGCTGTTACTACTTGAATGACCACGGTTGCTTGCCCACGGGACATGACACGGCAGGTAGATTAGGACTTTTTTGAAGCTACACTAGAATTTGGTTTCAAACAGCTGGCCAGACTTGAGTTCTGACCTTAAAAGACCTAAATGATTTCATGAAAAAAACAAACACAAAAACCTGGATTGAAAACTGAGCCTTGCCTGTCCCCTGATTGCCTGCAGGTGTGTTTCTTATCATGCTTGGCCTGCCTGCCTTCCTCTTCCTGCTGCTGTCGATGTGTAGACAGACAGAGCCCAGCCTCCTGAACTTCCCGCCGCCTCTGCCGGCTTTGTCTGATCTGTGGGAAGCCAGAGTGTTTGGGGTCTACCTCCTCTGGTTTTTTGTTCAGGCTCTGTTCTACTTACTGCCGATCGGGAAGGTAAGTTGCTGTTAGCAGGCAGAGTGTGGCGAGGCTTCCCTCCCCTCCATGTTCTCATCAGGTTTCCAGCAGGTTTCAGCCTGAAAGCTGCCCTCGGTCCTCACTACCCAAACTTAGTTTGTTAAGCCTTTACTCCTGACTCCTGTACACTTGCTTATTAAGTGGAACTTTAAAGATTGGATTGAGGTTTCTTGTACAGTGGTATCTCGGATTTCGAACATCTCTGTTGACGAACATTTCGGGTTACGAACACTGTAAGCCCAGAAGGAAATGCTTCAGTTTTCAAACACGCCTTGGAAGTTGAATACGCCACGCGGCTTCCGCTGAGGGCAAGGTCCTGAGACCCAGCTGTCGGCTGTGGATCCCTCGGTTTTCGAACATTTCAGAACTCAAACGGTCTACTGGAGCGGATCACATTCAAAAACCGAGGCACCACTGTATAACTTTCTGAGTCAAACAGAAAAGAAACTATTGTGCAAGTGGCCTGATGATAGAGGTTGTTAGGGAAAAACTCCTCCTCAGTATATGTGATTTCAGGTGCAGGATTTAAAACGATCTGAGCTGAGCTCAGTGGATTCAGTCTGCACTTTTTACTTCTTATTTTTATAATATATTTTTATTGATTTCAGAGAGAGGAAAGGAGAGGGAGAGAGAGAAACATCAATGATAAGAGTCATTGATTGGCTGCCTCCTGCACGCCCCCGACTGGGGATCGAGCCCACAACCCAGGCATGTGCCCTGACCGGGAATCGAACCCCAATCGCCTGGATCCTAGGTCGATTCTCAACCACTGAGCCATGCCCTGCCGGGCGCTGCTTCTTATTTTTAATATGAGTTTCTAGTTTTCAGAAATTTGTTGTTAGGAACATTTTATGTTCTCTTAGACTCATGCAGTGTCTAAAATTTGTCATTGCTAAGGGTCGTTTTTTCTTCTTTCTGTAGAATACGTGGATAGGTTGAAAGGAACATGAGATTCCCTAAGCAGTAAATAATTCACTTAGAGATCCTGTTCTTAGGGCTTTGCAAGTTTACCACTGTCTGTAAACCAGAGGATCAGGTTTGCTAGGAGTGGCTGGTGCCAGTGGTAGGGGCCAGAGCTGCAGGCCTAACGCTTTGGAATCTCACTGTCACATCCGTGGCTGTAGTGAGGGTTGTGTGATGTGGACATTGAGGCTCTGCAGTGAAAATCACAAGTTCAGGTTACTTAGGCAAGGCTAGACCAAACTAGGAATTAAGAAAAGCAGTTTTGTTGGTTAAGTATATTTTATATTTGTTCTCATTGCTAAGTGTAGTTTTTTCTTCTTTCAGTAGACTTCTCTCTCTCTCCCTTCCTCTCTCTATATAGAGAAACTAAAAACCCGACCCAGTATTTGTGAGATACCTTTGATCAGGATTGTTGGGAATCAGCACGTGGGGTTTTGTTAATCCTGTGATCTCCGGTATAACATTTCTCCTGGGTTCCCTTTCATAGCTAATGGAAGGGTAAAGTAGTTTTAGCCCAAGAAAAATGATACCATGTTAGCATTTGCCAGTTTAAAATGACCTGCAACATGTCTCAATAGTTATTTTGGGTAGTAGAATGTGGCTGCCATTGAACAAGAGGAGTTTGTACCGTAACTTACCCGTTAGTGGTGTTTCCGAGGACCTGCTGCATGGTACGTGGTGTTCTGGATAGAGCAAGGGGTCCGGACCCAGGGAGTGCTGTCTCTTACTGGAGGGAAAGGGTCACATGAAATGACTGAGTGGGTGAGCGTATGTTTGTAAAAGTGGCAGAGCATGTCAGTGCACGAGTGAGTGCCTGTCATCAGCTGGCACGCAGGCCGGAGTGCGGGGTGAGTGGGTGAGCCTGGTGGAAAGGGACCTCCCCACGCGAGACAGTGCTGCTCTGCTCTCCTTTGTAAGCTTTGGAAGTCATTGGAGATTTCTGAGCTCGAGATAAGCCAGATACACAGTGGTGCCTCGATTTTCGAACGTCTCCGTGGACAAACATTTCGGGTTACGAACACCATAAACCCAGAAGGAAATGCTTTGGTTCTCTAACACGCCTCGGAAGTCGAACACGCCACACAGCTGCTGCTGAGGGCAAGATCCTGAGGCCCGGCTGTCGGCCGTGGATCCCTCGGTTTTCAAATGTTTCGGAACTTGAACTGGCTTCCGGAGCGGATCACATTTGAAAACTGAGGCGCCACCGTATTAGTAATTAAAGCCCATTGAGTCTTGCCGGTGGCACATGGGGTGGTTGGGGGAGGGCGGCTATTGTGATAGTCTGGTACACTAAGAGGTTATTACTAGGTTTGTATTTGAGACAGATTCCTGAAAGACAAATCACTTTCCTCATCAAAGGGTTTGCCATGAAGATGCTCGAAACCTGTTACTAAATTTTCCTGCTAAAAGATAGACCTCCTCCTTGGGCATGTGGAAATTTAAGTGATATTAGAAGACGTATCTATGATGGTAAAGTTGTGCTTTTAAAATTTTAAATTAAAATTTCTTTTCTTTTAAGGTTGTAGAAGGAACACCTCTCACTGATGGAAGAAGACTGAAGTATAGATTAAATGGTGATTTTTTTTTTTAAGACTCAATTTGATGACTTGATAGCTCAAAAGGTTTGAGTGTTGTACTGTCCAAGCCGATTCCACCATTGTAGTAAATAGGAAATCACCCCTCAGCAGTGTGAAGGGCATGCAGTAAGTGATTTACACTTGCAGCCCACACGTGGAAATAGTTGAGGAATTGTCTGAGAGAGATGGTACCTCTACAGACGGTTGCCCCTCAGAGGCCTTGCTTGTTCACATATTTGTGCATATTTAGTCCAATAATGAAATTAGGACTTTAAAAGAGAACACTGTGCTATTTTATAATGGGATAAATCGCATATGGACACTGGGGTGACAGTGATTTCTTGTCTTTTTTTAAGGATTCTATGCTTTCATCCTGACGTCTGCGGCCATCGGCGCCGCTCTCTTCTGGGGCATGGAGCTTTGGCGCCTGTACCACCACTTCCTTCAGTTGGCACTGGCAGCCCTCGCGTTTTCTGTGGGCTTGAGTGTGTACCTGTACGCGCGGGCTCTGCGGGCGCCCCAGGGCCAGCTGTCGCCGACCAGCTCCGGTGAGCAGTGTGCCCCCCACGGCTGGGCTTGCGTCCAGTGCTTTCCCAGCTTCAGTTTACGGGAGGCGGAGAGAAATAAGAACAAACAGAAAGGTGGAGAAAACATTTAAAGGAAAGGCAAAGGAAGAAACTGTATTTATTTCCTCGTAGTTCCCCACTTGTTTCTGTTCCCTTCTCAGTCACTTGGTGACAGTGAGACACCTTAGTGACTCGTAACTTACAGTAACATTTTAGTAAGGTTAGTAGCGATATCATTTATGACAAGTACTATTTTTTGTCCCCAGTAGTAAATATTCTTTTTAAAAAAAACAACAGCAGAGTAAGAGATTTCAGATTGCTTGTTTTTGACCTAAAGTATTTAAACGTAAGTCAACATTACAAAAAAACTTGTGTTCCTTTGAAATCAGGGATCACCTGGGTAGCAGTGTGGCCGCTCTCAGTCCACCTGTTGCTCTAACTTCTCACCCCCAGGCCTCTGGGGGCTGAACTGTGACCCTGGGTGGTAGGACTGCATTTTTAAAGTCTCATGATTGGGTTTGGAATAGAGCTTTTCCAAACAGCTCAGTTTGAATAAGCACTTTTCCCTTCTCAGGAAATGTAATCTATGATTTCTTCATTGGCCGTGAATTAAACCCTAGGATTGGAAATTTTGATCTCAAATACTTTTGTGAATTGCGCCCCGGATTGATCGGATGGGTATGTTCGTTTTTTTAAATTTCAGTTTAGTAGTGCAAATTGGTCTTGGATTTAGAAAGAATTGTAGACAATTTTAAGCAAGCTGTGGGTGGTATATTTTAGAAATAATTATAGCTTTCCCTAAATCTGTGTACTTAAAATATTTTCTTACTGTAAATATAGTCCAGCGGGTTAAGATGTCCTATTACAGGTTATTAAACCTTAAAAGTTTTATTCTTATAGTTCCAGGATTGGCTACAGGTGCCACAGTGCATTTCGTTCTTTTGCTTTGTCTCCTCTGGTCTGTAATAGTTGCTTAGTCTCTTCTTGTCTCTCATGACCTTGACCTTCGAAGACGATCCTTTTTTTTTTTTTAGTGTTTTTATTGATTTGAGAGAGAGAAAGGGAGAGGGAGAGAGAGAGAAACATCCATCGGCTGCCTCCTGCATGCCCCCTGCTGGGGATCGAGCCTAAAACCCCGGCATGTGCCCTGACCGGGAATCGAACCTTGACCTCCAGGTTCAAGGGTCGATGCTTAGCCACAGAGCCACACTGGCTGGACACAGGACCCTTTAATTTGGGTTAGTCCAGTGTTTTCTGTTTTTAATCCTTATATGAGGATGTGTTTTATTGGTTTTGAGAGAGACAGGAAGCAGGGGGGAGAGACACAGACATTGATCGGTTGCCTCCCTGTATGCACCCTCACCTAGAACTGAACCCACAACCTTTTGGTACACGGGACAACAGTCCAACCACCTGAGCCACCCTGCCGGGGCAGTCCAGTGTTTTCTCATGGTGGGAGTGATGCATTTTTGGATGACTATCACAGAAATGATATTCTGTTCGCAGTGCATCCTATCAAGGGGCTCAGGATGTGATGTGTCTTATTACCATGGCGGTTGATTGGAAAGGTGGTGTCTGCAGCTTTCTTGGCTGTAGAAGGACCACCTTTCCCTCTGTGGTTACTAAGGACCCCTGAGGAACTACTTTGATACTATCTTTCCACCTTTTATTTCAGGTGGTTATTAACTTGGTGATGCTTTTGGCTGAGATGAAGTTACACAGTCGTGCTACTCCATCCTTGGCAATGATTCTGGTTAACAGTTTCCAGCTCTTATACGTGGTGGATGCTCTCTGGAACGAGGTAATTCATTTTAAAAGCAGACAGCCTTGAGTGTGGGTGAGTAACCTGACCTCTCAGGGCCTCGGCTTCTTACACAAAGTGAGGAGAGGGCCCTGCTTATGAGGCTGTGAGCACTGGACGGATGTCAGTCCATGTGGTGCTTTGGGCTGACTCATGGTGAGCACAGTAGCGTCTGCAGGTGTCCAGGTCCGGAGGGGATCTGGCTGCTTGCTCGTGCTAACCAAATGCACAAGGGCTGCTTTCACTTTTGTTAATTTACCATGTGGAGTGAAGCAGGCAGTGTACCCTGTTGCCAGGTAGCTTATTATGTGGAAAATCTACCTGAAAAGCCGGATTATGATTAGAAATGACATTGGTGCACGTGGACTTGAAACAGAGGCAGTTGGCGATGTTGTTCCTCCTTCAGCAAACGGACTGAACACTCCAGGCAGACAGGCAGTGTGCTGGGTGGCAGAGGGGAGCACACACGGGTCCTGGTTCTCTATTTCTTCTAGTGGGGAAGAGAGTGACTGAGACGTCACAGCATTCACGTTGCCTTCAGCCTTGAGGAGTGCGGGAGCATCTGGAAGGACCTTGTCGGATGGGGAGGATAAAGGAAGGCAGCTGAGGGGAGGCTTAAGCTGGGGTTGGAGAAGGGTGTCGGGAATGGCCCAGGCAGAGGTGGGGGCACTAGAGGCATTTGGCTTATTTCAGCGTCGGAGTGAGAGGGCAGAGGGACGGGATGAAGCCCGCGGGATGCCTTAGTGTGATGCCCAGGCCAGGGGACTAGGTGCCCTCCCCACTTCTGAGAACATTGTGGCTGGTGTGCCCTCCCATGGCCCCTATAAATTTGACTGTAAACTAGCCCTTTATCTAAATACTTTAAACACAGAAACTGTTCGCCCCCAAACTTTAAATTTTTCTCTGTGCCCTGTAGGAAGCAGTGCTGACGACCATGGACATTATTCACGACGGGTTCGGCTTCATGCTGGCCTTTGGAGACCTGGTGTGGGTCCCCTTCATCTACAGCTTCCAAGCCTATTATTTGGTACATCACCCCAATGACGTGTCTTGGCCGCTGGCTTCTCTGATCATCGCTCTGAAACGTGAGTGAATTTCACTGGGCTTTCAGTGTTACATAGTAGGTCTCCACACATTCCTAACACCTTTTAAGTGGCCGTAATTAGCTCAATTTGAAGTAATTTGTGATGANCTGATCATCGCTCTGAAACGTGAGTGAATTTCACTGGGCTTTCAGTGTTATAGTAGGTCTCCACACATTCCTAACACCTTTTAAGTGGCTGTAATTAGCTCAATTTGAAGTAATTTGTGATGACTGAGTGAAAGTCTTACAAAGAGAATGCACGCTTCATACTTAGGCTCTTCAGTAGTTCTCTAAAGGGATACTTTTTATTTAACATTTTAAAAGATTTTGCAGTTACAGTTGACATTCAGTATTAGCTTCAGGTGCACAGCATAGTGTTTAGACATTTCTATGCCTTATGAAGGGATTCCCTGATAAGTCTGTACGCACCTGGCACCATACATATTACAGTGGTACCTCGGTTTTCGAACGTCTCTGTGGATGAACATTTCGGGTTATGAACGCCGTAAACTTGGAAGGAAATGCCTCGGAAGTCGAGCAGGCCACACGGCTTCTGCTGAGGGCAAGGTCCTGAGGCCCAGCTGTCGGCTGTGGATCCCTCGGTTTTCGAACAGTTCAGAACTTGGACGGGCTTCCGGAGCGGATCACATTTGAAAACCGAGATGCCACTGTACAACGTTATTGACGATATTCTGTGTGTACTTTACACGACTGTTTTGTAACTGCCGCTTTGTGCTGCTGAGGCCCATCGCCTCTTTCACCCAGGTGGCAGCGATCAGTTTGTTCTAAAGAGAATTTTTAAGCCAGTTTGCTTTTCAATTCACCTGTCTTAATGATTCATTTTTTTCTACTGAGTGCCTGCTTTTTCTGGTGGGCACCTTAAAAAGTAGGAAGTCTTGCCTTCCAAGGGCTTTCGTTCTAACAAGGAGAGAGACTCTCAGACACGAGCAGGAGGCCCAGGGAGCAGGGTAGAGGAGGGACAGGTAGACGGACTGAGAGGGTTTAAAGCAGAGAGCTCTCTGGAGGCTGGTGTTCGATCTGAATTTTAGTGCGTGGAAGTGGGGTGGGAAATAGGTAAATCGGGTGGAGAGCTGGGAAGATGGAGCAGTACAGCTCAGCTGAAGCTCAGGTCCACCATGGGCGAGGTGGATTAGTGTCAGGGGGCTTCTTTCATGCCTATTCATTAAACCCTTCCACCAGAGGGGTAGGGAATTAGCACTGGACTGCAAATATAGCTAGTTTTGCCACACTAGAAGAAATTCTGGTTTGGTTTATCCGTGCCAACCATGCCTGTGGGTCCTTCAAGACAAGTCAATAGTGATTTTTTACTCCTTTATTGAGGACTGACAATGTAATAATAGTGATAATAGGCCCTGACCTAACTTGGACATTTTGAAATTTGAAATAAAGCTGCCAACTTGTAGGACTGCAGTGGGATTTTGCATATATTTGGCAAAACGTAATAGTACTGAGTCTAAGCTAGAGTTTTAATTAATAGTGTTCATGTTACGGCTCGCAGATATCATAACAAAATAGCCAGTGTTCAGTATATTCAAGTCTGGTATTGGTCTTATTGTAATGTGGGCTGTTAGATTTTATCCATGGATGTCACTGTTCCTTGTTAGTTTTGCCTACACGTGTTCACGTGGAAGATGATCGTGGTATGACAGTGAGATTTCAGGATCGTTCCCTTCCTTTGACATTCTCAGACTGAAGGCTTTCAAATTAAGTTACTCTCTATTTCTGAGCTCTGAGGAAATTTCCAAATTAATCTCTAAGTGCAATTACAGATGCTTTTAAATATTAGATTATATCTAAGTTGCTAACACGAAATTTTAAAAAATTCACAGTTTGTGGATATGTAATCTTCCGCTGTGCAAATACTCAGAAAAACGCATTCCGGAAAAATCCCACTGACCCAAAGCTTGCACGTAAGTACTGGTTTTGTATCATTCATGTCGCGTAAAGATTTTCTCTTTGCCTACATATCATTGCAAATGTGTGTTTATTTTTATACAGATTTAAAAACCATTCACACTTCCACGGGGAAAAACCTCCTTGTCTCTGGATGGTGGGGCTTTGTTCGCCACCCCAACTACTTGGGCGACCTCATCATGGCCCTGGCGTGGTCCCTCCCGTGTGGTAAGCATTAGAGGAGTGCTCACCTGACTCTCCGGCACGCCCAGGATGTGTCCTTTGTTGGGACATAGTGGGCAGAGCCGGAGTGAGTGGGTGTCGCTGGTCCAGGTTGGGGTTGCCCACCTCAGACGCTCCTCCTGATCTGACATGTGGCACTTCATTCCTCTGGCTTCTGGGGGGAGGGAGGAACTCAGAGCCCGCAGTTGTCCTCAAAACTTCTAAAGGCAGATTTTAAGTTTAAAACTGTGCCTCATGCTTTTTGCTAAGCAGAATATGAGACTTTAGCTTTTATTCATGACGCAGTGTACACACACCTGAAACACTGGTTCTTAAAACTCCTTGCTGACCGGCTACTTTCTAGCCAGAACTCACCTGTGCACTGGCTACTTTGGTCAGCAAGGTGTTTAAATTACTTACCTTGTGACCGGTCAGCAAGGCGATTAAGCAGCAGTGACAGCAGGTCTGTTTGACCAGACCAGTCTGCCCTGCTCAGCCGCCCCCACTGCGCGCCAGGGGAGCGAACGGGCAGAGCTCCTGAGGACAGCGGGTGGTTAGAATGGACTAGTCACATTTATCTGACAACTGCCTCCACCGCACCCCGCTGGGACTTTCTGACCTGGTTCAGTTTTCCCTGTGGACGAAATGGAAGTGATCTTATGGCTCATTGAGAGGAAAACCTCCCAGTGCCCGGCAGGGTGGTCAGCACTGACCACTTCCCCGTTGCTCCCGCAGGTTTTAACCACGTGCTGCCGTATTTCTACGTGATTTACTTCACCGTGCTGCTCATCCATCGGGAGGCCCGGGACGAGCGCCAGTGTCGGAAGAAGTACGGCGTGGCTTGGGACAAGTACTGCCAGCGCGTGCCCTACCGCATATTTCCCTACGTTTACTGACCCTCCGTCAGCGCCTTCCTAAATCCGCCCTCAAGGAAAAGTCCAAAACGAACCTTTCGTTGCACTGAGAGGATCTGTGTTTTTTGTCAGGACTATCGAGCCGAGGAGTCAGTCTTACTACAGTTGTGTGTTTTTACTAAATCCTAAGACCTTTCAGTCCTTAAAAATCTGCCCCCAAAAGAATACTTTTGATGTTTTGCTGTTACAAATTTTCATTTCCCTTTAAATTGAAGCATTTACTAGTCATGTGATTGGAAGTACACACCCCTTACAGAGCATCTAACATGAGTCCGGTGAGAAGTGGTCAGTGGCACTGGTCAAGGGACCTCATTAGTAGTAATTTGCTTAGCCTGAGCTTCTGCAGCTGCGTTTGAGGATGTAAATACATAGCTCTTATGTAATATATGGTGGCTTCAGAGTTCTTTGTACAGCATTTTGAATGTGAAATAATTGTCAGGACTAAGTATCTTAAAAACATTTGCAGTATTTTAAATTAAGTTTTGTAAAGTAATACGTGTGAATTAAAATGAGACAATTAGATTTACTATTGTGTAAAAGATGCTATTAAGACATAGGGAGGGTATTTTTCTTAATCCAAAGTTTGCAAATTAGGCTTTTCTACCTCAATTGCAGGTGTGTCTTTGCCTTTATAAACTGTTGCAAATAGAATATATATTTTTGGAGTAACATCCCTATTTAAACATTTTTTACACAGATTGGTGAAGATTTGCCATTTCAGGCTAATATTTTTATATGTTTTGCTACTGTTGAGCTCATGCAGTTTATACTGTATTTCGTATGTTCTTCATATTCACAAATTCTGCTGGTGGTGATCTGTAGGAGTCTAGTCATCTAAAGGCAATTTAAGGGAATAGTTTAAAATCCTTTCTTTTAGTTTAATAGGTGTGCATAAGGTAGCTTTAGCTGTTAAATTCTAGTTAAGTTGATAGAGTTTCATTATTAATTTTTCTATAAGGGAAAGCAAATTCACTAAACTACCCAATTTCTTAAACGTGGGAATCTAATAAGCAGAGTGTATATGTTGTTTTTAACGATAGATTTTATATATGAGCCCTGTGGGTGTGCAGCGTTGGCCTGCACTGCAGGCTGGAGAGCATGTGCTTGTGGGGCGGGCTGGCTCCAGCATCCCCCGCCCCGCAGTCAGTGAAGGTGACTGTCGGTGCTGTGTCACTGCCGGGCGTGCCTTTCTCCTTGCCTGCCTAGGTTCACCAGGGAAGCTTTGGGGGGAAGGAAGGACATTTAACTCTTTCTCTGGCGATGAGAAAGGAGCCTGTTAGCAGCACAGTGCTGCAGTTTCTGGATACCAGCTACATTTTGTTTTTATGTTTGATAAGTTTTATAATGAAGTTTTAAGTTGAAAATAAAGATTACTTTGGAGAGCCTCGTTTTTCCCCTCTGTGTATAACTCTGGGGTCACTGAGACCGAAACAGGAGGCCTTACCTCTTAGATCCCCCGCCTTGTTCCTGCGGCCACTTGTTCACGATGCTCCGGGACCACAGGGAATCCAAAAGGCAAACGGGACGCCTAGCCAACTGTCGTCGAACTTTGAGGCTCTCAGGAAAGTGGAGCTTGAAGGGGTTCGTGCAGGGCCCCAAGCCAGCTGCAGAACATGCCCCACGTGCTGAAGTTTTTACGGACCGAGGGAAGAAAGAGACTGCGCCTGCCCGTCTGGCTGAACACGCGTTTTTATGAGGGGTGGTGCTGCCTGGCCCGTCCTGAATCACGGTCTGGTTGGGGGGGGAGGGGGGCCACTTAGCTCTCGCTCGTCTCACACAGCAGCGCAACCTGCATCGTGATCCAGTGGCTGGGCAGTTTCTTCGTGGGTAAGTTCACCGATGTTAAGAAGTTTGAGGGTAAGCCACTAGCTGTCAGAACCCTTGACCTCTTAGGTGTCTGATATACTGGGCATTCAAAAGTATAGAGCTCTGACTCCGCCTGGTTAGAAGTATCTGGTGTTTCGGTGGAAATCTTAAAACAAAACAAAAACCCAACAGTCAGATTGCATCGGTGAAACAAACCATCAGCTCACACTTTCTACAGGCTAGACTTGGGGGGTTGTTAGGAACTAAGCACACNATCAGCTCACACTTTCTACAGGCTAGACTTGGGGGGTTGTTAGGTTGGGCGGCTGAGCAACTGCATATGGAAATTGTGCCTGGAGGGTTTAAATTTAAAGAGTAAGTATGGCTTGATCGTACCTATTCTTGAGAAATAACACTGGGTGCCGGTATAGCATCTGTTTTGGATGCTGGCAGTATTGGGGCTCTTTTAAATGTTTTCTGTCTGAAGCTGTCATCAGATTTCCCTAGTGGAACTGGGGAGTGGGACAGAAGGGGTGGCTTGCGTTACTGAGGGACAGCGCAGAGGCTCGAGACACTTGGGCGCTTACCTTCGTTGGCATGAAGAAGATTTCAGGGAAATCACAACATAGCTCACAGGGCAGCGAGTCTTCTAGCATTTTTTCTTCGTGATTCCACCTTGCTCCCTGGATGGATAGTCCAAAGATGTGAACCCCAATGTGTGTGCAGTCTGTGCCCTAAGACCAAAAAGAGGTGCTGTCAGTGGCATCCCGGGCAGGACGCTGCCTTCCACAGGAGCTGGGGACGGTCGTGGAGGCGGCGGGGTAGACCGTCCCCGAGCTGGGCAGCGTTTCCTGGGTTCTAAGGTGGGGACCTTCATCCTTTCCTTGCTCTGAGAGCTTAAACAAGTTCGTAGGCTCTACGTAGGATGAGCCTGAATCGATAAGTATCTCAAACAAGTAAAACTCCAAAATTTCTAGAATTATAATCCTTGGCCGAGTTTTTCAGAAGACACAGATCACAAAAGGGGTCAAACTTTGTCACCTGCTACTGCCAGTGTGACCACCATCATTCACTGAGGCCCTGGAAACTTTAAAAGTCTGGGAGGGATTCTGTATCGTATCTTCGAGTGACATAAAAAGGGTTGAACGAGTTTCTGGTACATTCTGTTAAGCAGAAAACTTTGCCAGCAGCCAATTCTGGGTGTCTCGAGGTGGGGCTTGGGTGGGCCTGGAAGGCATCTCGTTCTCCCCCAGGTGTGTGGAGGGGCTGGGGGTCCAGCACGATACCCCTCCCCCCGAAGGGCTCTGTCTTCTCTGATCAGGCAGGTCCCTGGGGAGAAGGGATGGCACCAGGTCCTGAGCTCACCCTCCAGGCTGGGTGGTGCTTGCTGGCCCCTGGGAAGGATGAAGTTTGATGCCATTTGGACTTGAAAGGGGACTGTGTCTTGTTTATGCTGCCTGTCTGGTGCCAGCGTAGTGCCTGGCACGTGGTGAGTGCTGAATAAAGGTTGGCTGAGGAAATGACTGCTTGACTGAACGAACGGCCCCTCTTTCCAATCTCTTAAGCACTCCGGTACCTTAAAGGCTCTCCTGACGATGTTGAGTTTCTGCTGGATGATTATGGAGAACTCCTCCTCTCTGATGTCAGCGGTGTCCGAGAGCACATGGTGGGTGAAAGTGAGGGCATCCATGGAGACTCCTTGGGACCTTCCGTAGTCCTGAAGCACAGCCGTAAGAAAGGCTTTGGAGAAAAACACACAAGGTCCTTGTGAGTCTCAGGGATTGGGGCAGTGCACTTCCCAAAGGTTCCTGGCGGGGGTGCTATTAACAACACTTGTCTCACGGGGAGGGGAGAGTGGGGAAGAGGTGGGGGGGNGGGATTGGGGCAGTGCACTTCCCAAAGGTTCCTGGCGGGGGTGCTATTAACAACACTTGTCTCACGGGGAGGGGAGAGTGGGGAAGAGAGTCAGGCGGTGCAAGAGGTGGGGGGAAGGCGAGTGGGCAGGAGGCCCTGCTACCCGAGGGGGTGCTGAAGCTGGCCTATGGGCCTCATCCTACAGCGCAGAGGGGCAGGGCTGGTGATGGGAGGACTGGGCACAGCTGCCCTGGGCCGGGCGCGGGGCTGGCCCTGGCTCGATGCTCACCTTGTGGAACGAAGAAAGCTGGGAGCCAGTATCTCGCAGGAAATCCCTCAAAGAAACTAGTATTTCCATCCGTGGGGTCCTTGAGGTCGGGGTTGGTGTGCTTCCAAGCTGCGATGAATCTCATGTACCTAGCGGAAGGCAGACCACAGGCTGGGCTGGTAACGGGCAGGATAACCGCACACGTTCAGATGACCGGGGCAGCTTCCTTCCGTCCCTCCCGGCTCGCTCCCTCCCCACCTGGGGACCTGGTCCTGTACTTAACAGCTCTGACCCTGGCGAGGCCACCAAGCAGAAGGCCTTACGTCTGGGTAACGGGGGATGCTGCTGCTACAGCGGGAACCCGGCTGGGCCTGCAGGACCTGGGGGCTCTTTCTGAGTTACTGACCCTCTCAAAGTATATATAGTGACACTGGCTCAGAGTTGCACAGATAAGCCGCAGTCTGGCGCAGACTTTGGAACCAGATTTCCTGGTTCAAATCCCAGTGCTTCCACTGTCTGGTTGTGGAACCCTGGGCAAGTTAATTCCTGTTTCTGTGCCTCAGTTGCCCCATCTCTAAAATGATGACGATAATAAATGGCAGCACCTACTTCGTGTCCTTGGGCTACTATGGAAATTAAGTGACTTAGAACCAGTAAAGCGCTNCACCTACTTCGTGTCCTTGGGCTACTATGGAAATTAAGTGACTTAGAACCGGTAAAGCGCTCANCTTCGTGTCCTTGGGCTACTATGGAAATTAAGTGACTTAGAACCAGTAAAGCGCTGACACGTTTGACACCCTGTGAGGCAGTGTTTACTCTCACGCCTTTCAAATTATTTTGTATTAAACACATTTGAAAATTAGACATAACTATTCTTTTCATATCTGCCTCCCCTCCCTCACTAGGGTGCAGGCTAACGGGGAGAGAAATGGACCAGGCTCTGCCTCTGCCCCAGAGGACAGGGACCCTAGAGGAGACTCAACTCCTCAGGTCCCCAATTCCTCACCCTAAACTGAAGATATGGGCCCCCCGCCCCCTTGGGGAATTCACATGGTGCTGTGAGAACCCACCGAGGCCGTGAACTGTTGAGCTCTAAGCAAAACGAAGGGAGAAATGTAAACCNAACTGTTGAGCTCTAAGCAAAACGAAGGGGGAAATGTAAACGGAGCGGCTCTCGCCCCTACCGGTGGTAGATCGCGGTGTAAGCCATCTTGGCCCAGGTGTTGAAGAAGTTCAGCCGCTGGATGAGATTATTAACCCAGGACATCAGGGGCTTGCAGGACTTGTAGGCGTGTTTCTGTCAGGATGGAGGGACGGGCACGTAACGTTTTTTAGATGTTTTTCCCTGGCCTATAGACACGATGTGTTGCTGGGGGCAACGTGGGCAGGAGAGGCCACAGTTTTGCAGCCGGTACCCACCTCACCCCCAGCTCCTACTTTACAGAAGAAGTTCTTATGGTCACCAGTCTCCTGAACAGCGAACCCCTTCTCCCCTCCCCCATGTCGCTGGCTCACAGCAGGCCCGGGCCTGAGCCTGCCTTGGCCCCACCAGCGGGCTGCTCCCTGGTGGACTCGTCCCCAGGCCCTTCTCCCTCCCTGTGCCTCTCGGCCGGTGGGGGCGGGAGGGGCTGCCGCCCGATTAGCTGGCACTCCCGACGCTCTAACTCGGGCTTGCAGACTCTAAAGCGCGTATGCCCTTTTCTAAGCATATATGCATATACAAGTGTGTGCTTTATTTAAATACATAAATACATATATATACACACACACACATTTCTCTGAAACTTAAAAAAATTTAACAGTACATCTTCTAGATCTTTTCACTATCATAACGTAACCAGATTCCTGTCAATAGCGAAAACGGTTGTTTTCAGCTTTAGCCATGATCAACAGCCCTGGGGTGAATCTCTCTTCAACTTATTTAAGCAGAATTTTATTAATATATACTCGCACCAAAAACGCGTCAGCATCTTTGAATGGATGCCTGCCGTTTCATCGTGTGGCTGCGCCCGTCAGCGTCCCTCCCTGCAGCCGGGACCTTGGCGTCACTCACCCGCCACAGCGCCGGGACCCTCATTTTGAGAAAAGACTCGTATATTTCCTCCAGGTCCTGGGACAGGATGACCTCTCCTCTGATGGCGAGCTGAAGGCCTTTCAAAGACTCGTGTATAACAAACAGCAGCTTATCGAATCGTTCGATTTCTTGGTTCAGCAAGGTCAGCAAGGCGCAGCGGATCACGGGGTCATAGCCTGGATTGGAGAGGGGGGGGCCTCTGAGACGAAACGGGGAGGCAGGGGCTTGGAAGCCAAAGCAACTTCATCGGTCAGGCCAGGGGCTGAGAACCCTTTTCTGCAGAAGGCACGTCGGTGAATATTTCGGGCCTCGTGGGCCC